AGTTCTTTCTGTAAAGACTTTCTGCTACTGTAAACAACCGAAGCTCATAGGCTCTACTGCTATCGTTAAGGAGCTTCTGGTCTGCTAAACTGCTGCACTTTCTGTGTTAAATGCTTTGGAAATGACCCGACTCTTCCGATTCTTCCTTCTCCTTCCGCTCTGCAGGGCTTGACCTGTCCGGAGCACCGGGAGGAAGTGACGCACTACTGCAAGACCTGCCAGCGCCTGGTCTGCCAGCTCTGCCGCGTCCGGCGCACCCACACCGGCCACAAGATCACCCCCGTGGCCAACGCCTTCCAGGCCCTCAAGGTCAGCTCCCCTTCGGTTTGAAACCAGGAACTGCGCAGGTCATGCAAGAAGGGTGTTCATGCAATATATCTCCTCGCATAATAGTCGCCGCTGTGTAATAGTCGCAACTACCTGGAAAATGGGTATTTTTGTGTTCCTCACATAATAGTCGCAGCTCCCTTCTTTAAGGGTGTAAAATTGGTATTTCCGTATTCCTCACATAATAGTTGCAGCTCCCTTCTTTAAGCGTGTAAAAATGGTATTTTTGTGTTCCTCACATAATAGTCGCAGCTCCCTTCTTTAAGGGTGTAAAATTGGTATTTTCGTGTTCCTCACATAATAGTCGCAGCTCCCTTCTTTAAGGGTGTAAAATTGGTATTTTCGTGTACCTCACATAATAGTTGCAGCTCCCTTCTTTAAGGGTGTAAAATTGGTATTTTCGTGTTCCTCACATAATAGTTGCAGCTCCCTTCTTTAAGGGTGTAAAATTGGTATTTCCGTGTTCCTCACATAATAGTCGCAGCTCCCTTCTTTAAGGGTGTAAAATTGGTATTTTCGTGTTCCTCACATAATAGTTGCAGCTCCCTTCTTTAAGGGTGTAAAATTGGTATTTTTGTGTTCCTCACATAATAGTCGCAGCTCCCTTCTTTAAGGGTGTAAAATTGGTATTTTCGTGTACCTCACATAATAGTTGCAGCTCCCTTCTTTAAGGGTGTAAAATTGGTATTTTCGTGTTCCTCACATAATAGTTGCAGCTCCCTTCTTTAAGGGTGTAAAATTGGTATTTCCGTGTTCCTCACATAATAGTCGCAGCTCCCTTCTTTAAGGGTGTAAAATTGGTATTTTCGTGTTCCTCACATAATAGTTGCAGCTCCCTTCTTTAAGGGTGTAAAATTGGTATTTCCGTGTTCCTCACATAATAGTCGCAGCTCCCTTCTTTAAGGGTGTAAAATTGGTATTTCCGTGTTCCTCACATAATAGTTGCAGCTCCCTTCTTTAAGGGTGTAAAATTGGTATTTTTGTGTTCCTCACATAATAGTCGCAGCTCCCTTCTTTAAGGGTGTAAAATTGGTATTTTTGTGTTCCTCACATAATAGTCGCAGCTCCCTTCTTTAAGGGTGTAAAATTGGTATTTTTGTGTTCCTCACATAATAGTCGCAGCTCCCTTCTTTAAGGGTGTAAAATTGGTATTTTCGTGTACCTCACATAATAGTTGCAGCTCCCTTCTTTAAGGGTGTAAAATTGGTATTTTTGTGTTCCTCACATTATAGTTGCAGCTCCCTTCTTTAAGGGTGGAAAATTGGTATTTTCATGTTCCTCTCATAATAGTCGCAGAGCTGCTCGGGGCTGATTCCACCTCCTTCCTTCCACCATACCCTTCTTCTTCCCTCCTTCCTTCTTTTTTGTCTTCCCTCCTCTCCTTCCCTCCCTCCTTCCTCTCCTTCTCTCTTTCTCGCTTTCCTTCCTTCCCTCCCTCCTCTCTTCTCTTCCTTCCTTCCTTCTTTTATTCTTTCACTCTTTCCTGCCCTCTCTTTCTCTCTCCCTCTTTTCCTCCCTCCCTTCCTCCCTTCCTTTCTTCCTTCTCTCTCTCTTCTTCCCTCCCTCCTTTCCTTTTTTTTCCTACCTTCTCCCCTTCCTTTCTTCCTTTTCTTCTTTCTTTCTTTCTTTCTTTTCTTTCTCTTTCCATTCTCTTTTCTTTCTTCTTTCCTTCCCTCCCTCCTCTCTTCTCTTACTTCCTTCTTTCATTCTTACTCTCTCTCCTGCCCTCCTTTTCTCTCTCCCTTCCTCTTTTCCTCCCTTCCTTTCTTCCTTCTCTCTCTCTTCTTCCCTCCCTCCTTTCCTTTTTTCCTATTCTCCCCTTCCTTTCTTCCTTTTCTTCCTTTTTCCTTCCCTCTTTCTTTCTTTCTTTCTTCTTTTCTCGCCTTCCTTCCTTCCCTCCTCCTCTCTTCCTGCCTTCTTTCATTCTTTCTCTCTCTTGCCCTCCCTGTCTCTCTCCCTCTTTTCCTCCCTTCCTTTCTTCCTTCTCCCTCTCTTCTTCCCTCCCTCCTTTCCTTTTTTCCTACATTCTCCCCTTCCTTTCTTCCTTTTCTTCCTTTTCTTCCTTCTTTCTTTATTTCTCTCCTTACCTACATTCCTTCTCTCCTTCCTTCTCTTTCTCCCCTTCCCTTCCTTTCTACTGTCTTCCTTTCCTTCTCCCTTCCCTTCTTTCTGTCCTTTCTTCCTTCTCTTCCTCTTTTCCTACTTTTCTTTTCCCCTTCTTTCCTTCCTTCCATCCTTCCCTCTCAGTCCCTCTCTCCCTTCATTCTCTCCATCCTTCCTCCCCTCCCCTTCCTTCCTTCCTTCCTTCCCTCCCTTCCTTCTCCTTCCTTCCTTCCTTCCTTCTTCCTTCCTTCTCTTCCTTCTTTATTTCTCTTCTTCCCTCCTTTCCTTCTCTCCTTCTTTCTCTTTCTCCCCTTCCTTCCTTTCTACTATCTTCCTATCCTTCTTTCTTTCTTTCCTTCCCTCCTTCCTTCCTTCCTTCCTTCCTTCCTTCCTTCCTTCCTTCCTTCCTTCCTCTTTCCTTTTCTCTCCTTCCTTCCCTTCTCTCCTTCCTTCCTCTCTCTTCCTCCAGCACCCTTTTTGGAGAGGAAACCCCAGAATCAAAGGAAAAATTTTTCATCGCGTAATGGTCGCACTCTCCTTTTTTGGAGGGATTAAAAGATGCGACTATTACGCGATGAAATACTTTCTATTTCCTCTCCTGCAGGAGAAGTTGACGAAGAGCCTGACGTATATCCTGAGCAACCAAGACACCGTCCAGGCCCAGATCAGTGAGCTGGAGGAGACGCTGCGGCTGACGGAGGTAAGGGCGCCTTTGCTGATGCTTCACAATGACTTGGGCAGACTACAACTCCCATCATCCCAGGCCAATCATGTTGGGTGCATGTGTCAAGTGTGGTCCAGATCCATCATCAATGGGGTTCACAATGCCCTTTGGATGTGGGTAGACTACAACTCCCATCATCCCAGGCTAATCATGTTGGGTGTATGTGTCAATTATGGTCCAGATCCATCATCAGTGGGGTTCACGGTGCTCTTTGATTGTGGGTAGACTACAACTCTCATCATCCTGGGTCAATATCCCTCCCAAGCTGGTCATACTGGGAGTACTGGTCAAGTGTGGTCTTGACCCATCATTGGTGGGGCTCAGGCTCAGTACTCTTTGGATGTGGGTGGACTACAACTCTCATCATTCTGGGTCAATACCCCTCCCAAGCTGGTCATACTGGGAGTACTGGTCAAGTGTGGCCTGGACCCATCATTGGTGGGGCTCAGTATTCTTTGGATATGGGTGGACTACAACTCCCATCATCCTGGGTCAATACCCCTCCCAAGCTGGTCATACTGGGAGTACTGGTCGTGTGGCCTGGACCCATCTTTGGTGGGGCTTAGTACTCTTTGGATGTGGGTGGACTACAACTCCCATCATCCTGGGTCAATATCCCTCCCAAGCTGGTCATACTGGGAGTATTGGTCAAGTGTGGCCTGGACCCATCATTGGTGGGGCTCAGTATTCTTTGGATGTGGGTGGACTACAACTCCCATCATCCTGGGTCAATACCCCTCCCAAGCTGGTCATACTGGGAGTATTGGTCAAGTGTGGCCTGGACCCATCATTGGTGGGGCTCAGTACTCTTTGGATGTGGGTGGACTACAACTCCCATCATCCTGGGTCAATCCTCATTTAGTTATGTTGGGTGTATTTGCCGAGTGTGGTCCAGACCCATAATCAGCCGGGTTTACAATGCCTTTTGGAGGTGGGTGGACTACAACTCCCATCATCCCAGGCCAATCGCCATTTAAAGTGGGTCATGTTGAGTGTATTTGCCAAGTGTGGTCCAGATGATCATTGGTAGGTTCACAATGCTCCTTGGATGTGGGTGGACTACAACTCCCATCATCCCAGGCCAATCATGTTGGATGTATGCATCCAGTGTGGTCCAGCTCCCTCATCAGGAGGTTCACAGCACTCTTTGGGCATGGGCGGACTACAACTCCCATGTTTCTTGTCTCCCCCCCCCCCCCCCCCCGCAGGCAAACGGGGTGCAGGCCAAAGAGGAGGTGGGTCGCCTGATGCGGGGTCTGGTGGCTCTGCTGGAGGAGAAGCAGGCCAGCCTGCTGGGCGCCATCGAGGAGTGCCGGCAGAGCCGCCTCCAGAGCCTGCGTGCCCAGTTGCACCAGCACCGCTCCATGGAGGAGAACTCGGGGATGGTGGGCTACGCCCAGGAGGTCCTCAAGGAGACCGACCAGCCCTGCTTCGTCCAGGCCGCCAAGCAGCTCCACCACAGGTGAGAGATCAAGCGGAGTATACATAAATACAATAATAATAATAATAATAATAATAATAATAATAATGGCACAGAAAGGGCTGGGCTGGATGGCCTCTGGGGGTCCCAACTCTCATTGCTGTTTTCCGGCCATCCACAGGATCGCCAGGGCGGTGGACTCCCTGCAGACCTTCCGTCCGGCGGCCTCAGCCTCCTTCAGCCACTTCCAGGTGGACCTCAGCCGAGAGATGAAGCTCCTGGCGGACCTCACCTTCGTCAAAGGTATGCCGGGCATCTGTATTGACCTGTCATCAATACTGAGAGGCAGCCATTAAAAGCAAACCAAGGCAAATTACATAATAATAATAATAATAATAATAATAATAATAATAATAATAATAATACTGTATTGACTCGAGTCTAACGCTCACCATCTACAATATGCCATAAACTCTGTATTGACTTGATATTAATACTGAAATAGTGTCATTAAAAGCAAACTAAGGCTAATAACATAATCATCATAATAATAGTACCGTATTGACTCGAGTCTAACGCTCACCATCTATAACATGCCATAAACTCTGTATTGACTTGATATTAATACTGAAATAGTGTCATTAAAAGCAAACTAAGTCAAATAACATAATAATAATAATAATAATAATAATAATAATAATGATAATGATAATGATAATAATAATACCGTATTGATTCGAGTCTAACACTCACCATCTTGGGGCTCACCACAAACTATAACATGCCACAAACTCTGTATTGACTTGATATTAATACTGAAATAGTGTCATTAAAAAGCAAACCAAGTCTAATAACAATAATAATAGTAATAGTAATACCGTATTTACTCGAGTCTAACGCTCACCACCTTGGGGCTCACCACAAACTATAACATGCCACAAACTCTGTATTGACTTGATATTAATACTGAAATAGTGTCATTAAAAGCAAACTAAAGCTAATAATAATAATAATAATAATAATAATAATAATAATAATAATAATAATAATACCGTATTGACTCGGGTCTAACGCTCACCATCTTGGGGCTCACCACAAACTATAACATGCCATAAACTCTGTATTGACTTGATATTAATACTGAAATAATGTCATTAAAAGCAAACTAAGGCTATTAACATAATAATAATAATAATAATAATAATAATAATAATAGTAATAATAATAATAATAATAATAATAATAATAATAATACCATATTGACTCAAGTCTAACGCTCACCATCTTGGGACTCGCCACAACCTATAACATGCCACAAACTCTGTATTGACTTGATATTAATACTGAAATAGTGTCATTAAAAGCAAACTAAGTCAAATAACATAATAATAATAATAATAATAATAATAATAATAATAATAATAATAATACCGTATTGACTCGAGTCTAACGCTCACCATCTTGGGGCTCACCACAAACTATAACATGCCACAAACTCTGTATTGACTTGATATTAATACTGAAATAGTGTCATTAAAAGCAAACTAAAGCTAATAATAATAATAATAATAATAATAATAATAATAATAATAATAATAATAATACCGTATTGACTCGGGTCTAACGCTCACCATCTTGGGGCTCACCACAAACTATAACATGCCATAAACTCTGTATTGACTTGATATTAATACTGAAATAATGTCATTAAAAGCAAACTAAGGCTATTAACATAATAATAATAATAATAATAATAAATAATAATAATAATAATAATAATAATAATAATAATAATACCATATTGACTCGAATCTAATGCTCACCATCTTGGGGCTCGCCACAAACTATAACATGCCATAAACTCTGTATTGACTTGATATTAATACTGAAATAGTGTCATTAAAAGCAAACTAAAGCTAATAATAATAATAATAATAATAATAATAATAATAATAATAATAATAATAATACCGTATTGACTCGGGTCTAACGCTCACCATCTTGGGGCTCACCACAAACTATAACATGCCATAAACTCTGTATTGACTTGATATTAATACTGAAATAGTGTCATTAAAAGCAAACTAAGGCAAATAAAATAATAATGATAATGATAATAATAATAATGTATTGACTCGAGTCTAATGCGCACCTTCTTGGGACTTGCCACAAACTATAACATGCCATAAACTCTGTATTGATTTGATATTAATACTGAAATAGTGTCATTAAAAGCAAACTAAGGCAAATAACATAACAACAATAACAACAACAACAACAACAACATATTGACTCAAGTCTAATGCGCACCTTCTTGGGACCCGCCACAAACTATAACATGACGTAAACTCTGTATTGATTTGATATTAATACTGAAATAGTGTCATTAAATGCAAACTAAGGCTAATAACATAATAATAATAATAATAATAATAATAATAATAATAATAATAATAATAATACCATATTGACTCAAGTCTAACGCTCACCATCTTGGGGCTCACCACAAACTATAACATGCCACAAACTCTGTATTGACTTGATATTAATACTGAAATAGTGTCATTGAAAGCAAACTAAGATTAATAACATTATTATTATTATTATTATTATTATTATTATTATTATCATTATTATTATTATTATTATTATATCATTTTGACTCGAGTCTAACGCTCACCATCTTGGGACTCGCCACAAACTATAACATGCCATAAACTCTGTATTGACTTAATATTAATACTGAAATAGTGTCATTAAAAGCAAACTAAAGCTAATAACATAATAATAATAATGATAATAATGATAATAATAATAATACCGTATTGATTCGAGTCTAACGCTCACCATCTTGGGGCTTGCCACAAACTATAACATGATATAATATCTGTATTGACTTGATATAAATACTGAAATAGTGTCATTAAAAAGCAAACTAAGGCTAATAACAATAATAATAGTAATAGTAATAGTAATACCGTATTTACTCGAGTCTAACGCTCACCACCTTGGGGCTCGCCACAAACTATAACATGACATAAACTCTGAATTGACTTGATATTAATACTGAAATAGTGTCATTAAAAAGCAAACTAAGTCAAATAACATAATAAATAATAATAATAATAATAATAATAATAATAATAATAATAATAATGTATTGACTCGAGTCTAACGCTCACCATCTTGGGGCTCACCACAAACTATAGCATACCATAAACTCTGTATTGACTTGATATTAATACTGAAATAATGTCATTAAAAGCAAACTAAGGCTATTAACATAATAATAATAATGATAATGATAATAATGATAATAATAATAATAATACCGTATTGACTCGAGTCTAATGCTCACCATCTTGGGATTCGCCACAAACTATAACATGTCATAAAATCTGTATTGACTTGATATTAATACCGAAATAGTGTCATTAAAAAGCAAACTAAGTCAAATAACATAAATAATAATAATAATAATAATAATAATAATAATAATAATACCATATTGACTCGAATCTAATGCTCACCATCTTGGGGCTCGCCACAAACTATAACATGCCATAAACTCTGTATTGACTTGATATTAATACTGAAATAATGTCATTAAAAGCAAACTAAGGCTAGTAACATAATAATAATAATAATAGTAGTAATAATAATAATAATAATAATACTGTATTGACTCGAATCTAACGCTCACCATCTTGGGGCTCACCAAAAACTATAACATGCCATAAACTCTGTATTGACTTGATATTAATACTGAAATAGTGTCATTAAAAGCAAACTAAGACAAAGAACATGATGATGATGATGATGATGATGATGATGATGATGATGATGATGACACCATATTGACTAGAATGTAACGCTCACCATCTTGGGGCTCGCCACAAACTATAACATGCCAACTCTGTATTGACTTGATATTAATACTGAAATAATGTCATTAAAAGCAAACTAAGATTAATAACATTATTATTATTATTATTATTATTATTATTATTATTATTATTATAATAATATCGTTTTGACTCGAGTCTAACGCTCACCATCTTGGGCCTCACCACAAACTATAACATACCATAAACTCTGTATTGACTTGATATTAATACTGAAATAGTGTCATTAAAAGCAAACTAAGGCAAATAACATAACAACAACAACAACAACATATTGACTCAAGTCTAATGCGCACCTTCTTGGGACTCCCCAAAAACAACAACATACCATAAACTTGATATTAATACTGAAATATATTAATACTGAAATTCTAACAAAACTTTCAAAATTTCCTTATAAATGGTAGTTCCTAATTGGTTCTGTCATAAAAACCGCCAATAACAAAATAGTAATGAAATTCTCAAAGTTTTGTTAGGGTCCTGAAATTTTCACCACCAGAACTTTAGAAACACTTTAGAAGCAAAGCACCAGCTTTCGCAATACTCTAGAAGCAGAGCTAGTTCCTAATTGGTTCTGTCCTAAAATCCCCAATAATGAAATAATAATGAAATTCTTAAAGTTTTGTTTGGGTTCTGAAATTTTCACCACCAGATCTTTAGAAACACTTTAGAAGCAAAGCAATACTTTAGAAGCAAAGCTAGTTCCTAATTGGTTCCTTTAGAAACACTTTAGAAGCAAAGCAATACTTTAGAAGCAAAGCTAGTTCCGAATTGGTTCTGTCCTAAAAACCGCCAATAACGAAATAATGATGAAATTCTCAAAGTTTTGTTTGGGTCCTGAAATTTTCACCACCAGAACTTTAGAAACACTTTAGAAGCAAAGCAATACTTTAGAAGCAAAGCTAGTTCCTAATTGGTTCTGTCATAAAAACGGCCAATAATGAAATAATAATGAAATTCTCAAAGTTTTGTTAGGGTCCTGAAATTTTCACCACCAGAACTTTAGAAACACTTTAGAAGCAAAGCAATACTTTAGAAGCAAAGCTAGTTCCGAATTGGTTCTGTCATAAAAACGGCCAATAATGAAATAATAATGAAATTCTCAAAGTTTTGTTAGGGTCCTCAAATTTTCACCACCAGAACTTTAGAAACACTTTAGAAGCAAAGCAATACTTTAGAAGCAAAGCTAGTTCCGAATTGGTTCTGTCCTAAAAATGGCCAATAACGAAATAATAATGAAATTGAGAAGTTTTGTTTGGGTCCTGAAATTTTCACCACCAGAACTTTAGAAACACTTTAGAAGCAAAGCAATACTTTAGAAGCAAAGCTAGTTCCTAATTGGTTCTGTCATAAAAACGGCCAATAATGAAATAATAATGAAATTCTCAAAGTTTTGTT